AAGAAGTTCCATAAAATCTCATGTCACGGACCAGTTGTTGTTATCTGTACAACGACATCGACTGTCTAGAATTTGTTAGTATGAAAAGCATTTCGAAAGCCTTAAACGTTTTTTTGAAATTGAGACAAATTAAGTAAATCGATCAGAGTTCATGATCACTTGTTGTCATCGATACTAAACTATTGATCTTACATATTAAGAATAAATCAATTGATTTACTTCAAATGGTATAAATGAGAGCTTTTGAATACTTTTCAAATAACATATTTGTTTACAGTAAATCACTTGTATTCAGAATTTTTACATTCAGAGTTCCATTCACGTTGAAGAAACTTTTCATGTTGCAAGAATTAGTTAAAGTTGGAAATTGTGGGATATTTTGTTTTTATTTATTACAGGTTGAAATCATGAGTCAGTTGAAGCTAGACCATCATGGAAAACCTGGAAGCACTGGACGGCCGTTTCGTTCTGGTATGGGACTCCTTAGCAGTGCGCATCCACGATCCCGCACCACGCGGGGCTCGAACCCAGGACCTACTGGCTTCACGCGCGAGCACTTAACCACTAGACCACTGAGCAGTGGATGCGCACTGCTGAGGAGTCCCATACCAGGACGAAACGGCCGTCCAGTGCTTCCAGGTTTTCAATGGTGGTCTAGCTTCAACTGACTCATGATTCCAACCTGTGAAATTTCTAAAACTCTCCACAAAACCCATTCTGATTTTATTTATTAATTGAACATTGTTTTCTGGTTATCATCAAAAGACAAGTTCTTAGATTGAATTTCATTTAGATCAGTACTAGTGTAGTGAACAAGAACACCAGTGGAGACAATCGAATGTACTTAACACAGAATTACAGGACTTGTTAATAAAATCTAACAATCATAAAGTAAATGCTTAATTTGCAAAATGTCCACCAATTGTCTCAAAATGACTCAGACTTCATTGTTCTTTCATTTTCATACAAATTGCATTCTGTTTCCATTCTTAACTGTTCGATCCTCTTGTCTCTCTGTTGACAGACCTTCTGTTCACGACTAACATCATATACTACTCATATCAATATAAGTAGCACACACCACACTAGTGTTAAGTTAACAAAAACTGTTTACATCTTCATTAACCAATTAAATGAAAAAAATAATCAATGTACTGAATCTAAATTTTGAAAGTTTTTCTATCTCCGATTCATGTTTATAATATAGAAAGAAAGGAATGATCAGTAAATGAATGGACCTTAAAGTTTAGGAAACTTGTCTTCTATATAATATGTATGTTATTAGGTTGGTAAAATGTTAGATAGCAGTTATTATTTGGGTAGATTGAGGTAAACTACTTGTCTAATCTAGTTCTGTAAATGAAATTGAAATATAATCACTCTGCGCTCAATCTCGATACTATATGTTTTAAGACAGGTAGTCTTGGATCTAGCTTCCGTGCTAGTTAGTACTCTTCAGTAAACAATTATCGGCACTGTGGAGCGAAGCTGATATTACATTTTGCATATTGATAAATGTAAACACCTTGATCGTACAGAAAGTCACTTTTGCTTGAATGGCACTACTATCGACTATGAAGCTGATCACCCCAAGTTAAAATCTTAATGAAAGCATTAATTTCTTCAGAATTTCAGGCACGACCAGCTGACAATTGTCAACTAAAATTAAAGTTTGGTCCAACGTTTACAACAGTTGCATATAATCGCTCAAATTAGACATAAACTGTATAATTTGATTGCGATAGATTCAGAGATCAACACTACATGCAAAACGTTATTTGTCAGTTAGTATAATACCATCAAAATAATCCAGGTTGATATTCGAGCATTATCTTATTTTTCAAATATTCTTCCAGTTGGAAAAATAACTGTTCATCAACTGAGAGTATTCACATTTTCATAATTATTAGTAGCTAAACACTCAACTGATTCCCCCTATTGTTATCTTAATCGGCACTTAGAAATTCAAACTACTTATTTCGTTTCAACATTCATAAGTTGGAATTATGTCGTTCATTATTGTTCATCGAACCATATCCATAAACATCACTAGATACACTTAATAAGAATGAGAGATCATGAATGAGCACTACTGAGGAGTCCTATACTAGGACGAAACGGCTATTTAGTGCTTCCAGGATTTCAATGGTGGTCTAATATCGATCAGCTCATCACTTCAATTAAAACTCAACGACCTCCACAACCCTATACTGACGAATTTTTGTTTAATGTTCATAAGTTCTATGCTCTTATGAAACACGTCATGTCGTTCGAAGGTCATAATCATGAATACCCTTCATCATGGCTGAGCAAAGAGGCTGTGAACACGGCAACCATCTCAATATTAGCTTATTTAATGCAAGCTGATCATAATCAAGAATTTTTAATAATTCATGGGGTTGGTAAACTTCTACCCAAGTCAGTCAGACTAAAACGTTCTCTGAACGAAGCAAACAGAAACCATTCAGATTAAAGAACATGACTAACATGTTCTAAAGAAATATGTTTAATCTCTTACCTTAAGGTCACTAAATCAGTGGTAATATTAACTATGAAATAGCCTTATTTGACTAATACACATAGGAACCTTTCCGCGTATGTATTTTCAAAAAGTGAAATTTAAATATCATTGTCGGTGTTAGAATTATCATTGTTTCAACATCTCTGTTGATGCTTCGTTAACATTAATGACACGGCTCAAAATCGTTTGCAATGGCACGGGTGCATCCACTCTTTGTGTTCTCCCAAATTCTGATCTCCTGAATCCTCCTTGTCTCTTTTTATCTCTTTCCAAATTTATTTCACTGCATTATACTCTTTAAATAACATCTTCAAACCCCAATCTTTCCGATTACTGCTTATACTCTTACTACCTCTACCACTACGGGATTTGAACTGACAACTGCATCTCTGTGCTAATGTGGTATGGCAACTCGAACTGATGTACGTACGTACGTCCGAAGTTCTAAGTTGTTACTGACTGGCTGACATTGTTTTCATGGATTTTATATCACAAACTAATATTAATTAGATGACCATTGGTCAAGACCAAAGGTCTTGAATACGGTTTCCGATGCCCTTACTCAAAAGCCTAAATTGAAGACAAAACGGTTGTTCAGTGCTTCTAATTATTAAATGGTGGTCGAACTGAGTTCAATTTGTAATAGAAAATCCACGAAAATTCCATGAACTCATAAAACCCTGTACCGGTAATTTTACCATTATTGTAGTGAACGGGAACACAAGTGGAGATAATCAAATGTATTTGAACACAATATTACAGAACATTTTAGTAAAATCTGTGATCCATATAGTAAATACTTAATTTTCAAACTGTCAAGTTGTTGCTTCAGGACTGGTCTGGGTCAACACCTGAACTAAGGATAGGGAGTGAAGTAGTTGAACGCGTTGACAACTTCACTTATCTTGGAAGTCTGATCAGCCCTAATGGGTTGGTGTCTGACGAAATCTCAGCACGGATTCGAAAAGCTCGTTTGGCTTTTGCCAACTTACGTCACCTTTGGCGGAGGCGAGATATCCGTCTATCAATAAAAGGACGAGTATACTGCGCTGCAGTTCGTTCTGTTTTAATTTACGGCAGCGAAACATGGCCCTTAAGAGTAGAAGACACCCGTAAGCTACTAGTATTTGACCACAGATGCCTTAGAAATATTGCTGGCATCTGCTGGGATCACCGGGTAAGTAATAGTGAGGTTAGACGCAGGGTATTAGGGAATGATGGTAAATCAGTTGATGAGGTTATGAATCTTCATCGACTGAGATGGTTGGGCCACGTATTACGTATGCCTGAACACCGATTACCACGACGTGCAATGCTAACCGGGGTAGGGGATGGTTGGAAGAAAGTTAGGGGCGGCCAAACTAAAACGTGGCATCAGTGCCTGAAGTCACTAACTTCTAGTCTGAGCCATGTTGGTAGATACAGACTACTTGGTTGGGGTCCGCGTGACTTTCGTAACCAATGGTTGGAGACTCTTGGTGACATGGCTCAGAATCGATCACAATGGCGTCGGTGTATACACTCCCTGTCTTCCCTTAAACTAAAAGATTAAAATCACTTCATTCTTTCTGTCTACGAACTAATTCTTTCTTCCTATACTATATCCTTATTGCAACCTTTGACCTAACCACTCCTATGAATCCGCTGTTCATCTTGCTGTGCTAATGAGGTATGGCAACCTGGACCGATGCACATATGTGCCTGGTCCTACGTTGTAGCTGACTGACTGACTGACGATCAATTATTTCAAACTTGACTGTTCCTTCTGCAAAATGTCAACCAACTGTCTCGAACTTCATTGTTCTTTCGTTCCCATATCAATTATTCTTTGTTCTCGTCCTCTTTCCTTCCGATCTACCTCTAGACATTTCATTTTTGATTAACGATACATACTACTTATATCTGCCGGTATCAGTAGCACATACCATACTGCTACAACAGTGAACAAGAACATCATTAGGGACAATCGAATATATTTGACACGAAATTACAGAGTATCTCAATAAAATCTAAGAACTATATAGTAAATAGTTGATTTGCAAAATATTAATCCATCGTCTCAAACTTCACTGTTCCTTTTGCAAATATCAGTCCATTGTCTCGGATTTCATTGTTCATACATTTTCATACTAATTGCGCTCCGTTCCCGTTTTCTTTCCTTATCGATCTTCTACTGAAATACATTCCATACCCAACCACGGTTATATACTACTTATACGGATATAAGTAAGCGACATCATACTATAATGTTTTGTTTATTAAAATGCTTAGTTCAAATCACAATTTATAATATATATTTATTCAAAAACAGTTAACAATATTAAACTAACTTCACATCACATGTATAAAGATTTTCATGATATTCAATTCATTTCAATATGACCATTAACAAGGTTAGTATAAAATTATCCAATCTCATTCAATGATTTCTATGACAATGAGTGTATTGGCTACATCATTATAATTCTATGCCATAAATATGAAATCATGTTAGTGTAATACATTACAACTTTATGATAAAACAAATTATGAACAAATTCTTTTATCATATACCATTTATATTGATTTATTATATCATCAAAATCAATTGTAATATCAATTCAAAATCAATAAATCAATCAATTATTTATGAACCGAATTGGAATTCATTAGATAAACGTCCATTACCAAATTGGTATGATGAAGCTAAAATTGGTATATTTATACATTGGGGTGTATTTTCTGTACCTAGTTATAGGTAAGTAATTCATGGAAATTATTATAAACATTTAATAATGAAAGGATTTATATATTTAGTTTAGTTTAGATCAAACTTATTTTAATGTATTTACGTTGATAATGAATTACTATTATAGAGTTGAAGATATTATAATGTGTTGTGGATGGTAATTTCATAGTTAATTCAACCAGGTCTATTGTGAGATATCAGCTCACTGAAGACAGTGGTGTATGGTGGCGCAATTTCATGGATGGGTTGAAGTTAGACATTAACAACGTTTGATGACGGCTCAATGGTCTAATGGTTAAGCCCTCGTGCTCGAGACTGATAGGTCCAAGGTGCGAATCTTGCGGGGGGAAGTTCCATATTAGGGCGAAAAGGCCATTTAGTGCTTCCAGGTTTTCCCTGGTGGTCTAGCTTCAATTGACTCATGATTTAAACTAGTGTAATTTTTATACATTTAGAAGTAGTATGAAATTTAGTTATGCCGATAATGGTGCTGTGAAAAAAAGTAGCTATGAATAGTGTTATGTTCATATGGCCTGTTAATATATTACGTGACTAAATCGCCAATAAAAACACCAATTTGTAGGAGCAGACCAATGATGCACTAACCAGTATGAGCAGCCTAGAGTCAACTCTGAGTTCTTATTGGTTCCTCTGGCCTAGACGTTCCCGTTTGAGTCTAGAACACCAATATCAGCCTACGATATATGAATCATGCAAATCAAACATAAGCAATACATATACAAGCAAATCAGACTGCATCATACCAGAGAATAGAAAATAACATTTATATACTAGATCAAGTCGAAAGTGGCTGTGAGTGTGAGATATTGTAACTAAGAAATTAAGAATAACTTAAATACAGTAAATCGTATATTAGTAGTGAAATGGTCAAACCGAAGCTTATAATAAAAGAAATATGAATATACATATAACATAGTTACTTAATTGTTATCCAATAAGAATATATACATATATAACAACAGTCTATAAATGGATCCTAGCAGTTACCACTCATCTATTCTTCGTCCATATATAACAAATAGAACAGTTAAAAGAAATTTTTTAAAAAGTTTTTTTATATTACGTATTGATGTTATATCGGGAGAAAAAATATGAATGAGTTCTCATTATTCTACTGATAAGAAATGTCATGTGTACAGTTCCCTTCATTATCTTCGAGAAGACAAAAATAAAATTTTGGACAGTAGAATAACATGTACTAATTGTATATATAGTTAGGTTCATCTCAATCGGTTGAAGATGAATATACTAATCAGGTTGGTTGAAAGTTGTTATGAACATGTATCGACGTTGTATATCACCTTTAGACCATTGAACCGGGATATGACAGTGTTATTTTCTAACTTCAATCGATCCACGATCGTGTGCAATTCTTCATCTATCATCTGAGGTGGATGAATGTTTTTACCCGACTAGGATTGGACTCCACTGGTCACGGCATCTCATTAGAACTCCAGGAAACTCGTCTTGAGCACATGATTATTATCAGTATGTTTCAATAGTGGTCTAGCTTAGATTGGTTCGTGAATCCAACTGTGAAAATATTCATAAGTTATAACTAATATATCTTCATACAAACTCTAAACGAGCGTAAAATGTTTCTGTAAATGTAATATGAACTATGTTTAACAGTAATTTTCCAATAAACAATAATTTTTAGTATAAGGGATCGTTGAGACCTTTCGACTTTATAGTTTTTGATTACGAATTGTCTTTAGTCAGGCAGCTATTGAAATGATGACGTATGACAGTGGTGTAATATCGATAACGGATTGAAGGTAGAAATGTGAACAATAGGATGGCAAGACAGAGGTTTAGACGATCGGTGCTTCTCATGATGATTGAATGTCTTTAGTTAGATTCTTAATAAGGTCTTGGATCATGTTTTGTGGAACAGGTTATATGATACTAGCTACTAACGGATGCCCGATTATTGCAACTATTTTATTCAAACTAACCTTTTTACTATGAAACATATCAATGGAAGTTATCCGTTTATTGTCATTCTAATAAGAAAAGTACTATGGACTCATTCAGATTAAAATACTGTGTAAACTTTCTTGATTTATTTGGTAGTGTACACTTTTAAGTTAAATAATTCGTGCATAATTCAATAGTGACTAACATCGTTGAATTATAAATCAATCTAATTATGTCTTTTAGTCTTCCAAAAATATTCTATGGAAGTGAAGAATCCACACTTAGAAGATGGTGAGAATATTTCTTCAAGCTAGTTATCATTATTAAATTACTTTTCAATTAAGCTTAATGATAGGTCTTTGAATTGTAGACTTAGTGAGTGGAATTTGAAATGTATGTCATATCTGGTGTAGACTGTAAATCACGGTGAATTTCTCAGTTTTTAAATTAAAGTTTTATACATATTTTAGACAAGAAGTCACTTAACTTTAATGAATTCAAAAAACACTTAATTATTTAACTGAAGGGTTCAACCGAGCATTCAATAATGGTGCATTTATGAATATGTAGTACTGGTCACTTAACTTCGCCTGGAACCCCTCTGAGGCTACTGCCGACCTCAATGCCGGATGAAGGAGGAGGGTTGGGCATGGGGTTAGCAACCTCACCCCGTATTTGTTTATTTGTTCGAATACATAACTATTGGTACTTATGGAGAATAAAATAACTATGCGCTATTTAATGAAAAAGTGCGATTATGAAGAGGTAGATGAAGGAAGGGGAGTATAATAAAAAGCAATAAATGAATAAAAACAAGTGAATGACAGTAACGAATTATGGAAGAAGCAGTCCACAAACAGAAAGAATCTTATCAACAACAATAACTTTCTGCTGACTTATATGACTTATATGAAGAAAATTACATCAGGATATCTACTGGCTTCTATCCTGAATCATGTCTGATAACTCCTCAGGCTATTGTGCTGCACTATCTTTAGGACCTCAACCAGATAGTCTTGAAGGACCAACAGATACCAGTTCTATAAAGTTTTCTTTCATACTATGACGGCATTTCATATACTGACCACCTCTCCTCTTTTACCAACTAGTTCTAGGGTTGAGATGTAATGTGTAATGTTCATTCGTAGCATATATCTGAGTTACCGTAGCCGATATTTCAAGATGGTGACATTAATTAGATTAACATGACTGCCAAATCTCTAGTTTACTAACACAGTTTATTTTTGTAGAAAAGATAAAACAATCATTCAATATTCATTCCTTTCATTTTGAATAATGCTTTACTTCATATCAGCTGATTATTGATTAACACAGTCATAACTTGACAATATCATTTTAATCTATAACTACTACGTCTAGGAACTTAATTATTGATTTGATTATTATTATTATTTATTGATTATTTAATCTTATAATAAATATTCTGGTGTATTTGTAATTTTATCAATCTTAATTCCATAACAATTTTGATTTCAATAAATTCACTGGAGTGTATGAGTGTTTATAAATCACTTAAAAAGATAATTGTTTGCATGTATGTCACTTAATCAGTATACTATTAAATAATATAATAAGTTTGATGTAACTCTATGTAACCTTATTACTATTTATATACAAAGATGAATAGTAGCTAGTAGCGGAATTCAGGACGCGCATTTCGTCCTGTTTGGGGCTCGTTAGATGGATGTATCTGTATCTCAGAGTTGATGTTCACTGTGGGATTCGAACTCAGTATCGTTCACTTTAAACGTTATCGCGTTATTCACTTAGCTACTGAGTTATGATAGTCACTCGCTTATGTAATGGGGTGAAGTTGAAATTTATTTTATATTGTTTGTTTGAATCTTCCCATTGATGTTTAGGACTACAAATAGGATGAAACGCGATTCCTGGATTCCTCTGATAGCCACTATCCATCTTCGCATATAATGCTTGTGAATTAAAGCTATATCGAGGCAATACGCACAGTACGCGCATATGCCAATAACAGACTGATCAGTTTCAGTCTTAAACATCAATGGGAAGATTCAAACAATTAATACCAAGTGAACTTATTAGTATTATTTGAATATGGGGTTTTGAAGACTATTGAATTTTGTAGTCTACATCACTGACTGATATTAATTAGAAAACTATTGCAAGTTAGAAAGTATTGGATAACTTTCTCATCTTGATGTTGGGTTCTTCATCAGTAACCATCCAAAATCTCACCAGGGATCAAACACGGGAACTTTATTTCTTGCTATGAAATCCACTTGAGATGAAATCCATGACAACCGGACTTTGTTAAAAGCCCCTAACTGTTAGATGATTGGTTTAACATTTCAAACTTCAGTAATTATAGTACGACTTTTATTCATTATCATGGTTGGTCTTTAGGTGAACTTAAATGACTATGATTTCTCATTGGAACTCTGGTAATTAGCCTTCAAGGTTGGTTGTTAGTAAGCAGATGACGAGTTATATTAATATAAAGTTATTCAGATTGTAAAATTTATAGTTTCACAATATGAACTGACTAGTTAGACAACTATTAACTTATTCAACTTAATTATAGATAATTTATTCACTTAAATCTATTCTTCAATATGAAGTAACCGATAGAATATATAAATATAATTCAACCTTTCTGGTTTCAAATATACTGACAAGTCATTTATTATTCAATAAATATGATAATCTAGAGTCCAACAGACATGTTACCTTGACAACTTAAAACTCTATGTTTATATCAACTTGCAGAATTATTTCAAAAAATCACAACTAAAATTATGTAGATTGGTTGAATTAGTTTTCATGTTACTTATGGTTTTTAATTCCATCCATTAGTAATGAAGGATAGTAATTGTTGATTTTCACAATTAATTGATCACTGGGTGGCGATAAATGTCATGCGTGTCTAGTAATTAGTAGTGCAGATCGAATGCTATCGATCATGTTGCAATATGGCCACCAGTCTAGGTGACTGGACACTGCAGGCACTATATATATTGAGATTAGATGGTGGTTGGAGGTAGTTGACAGGAAACCCTGGACCCGGGTTTTGTGCTACTTGTCACTCGTCAGCAAGGTATACCTGTAATCTTGAGGGAACTGGTGCTCCCTGGCGGATTCGATCTCATGTCACTCAGCTTCACAGTCAGAGACGTTACCACTGAGCTATCCGAGCCGCGACCGACCTCCTGTAGGAGTGAGATGTAATCACAATTGACTGATCACTGGTTGATTTTCATGATGTTTATTGATAATAAGATGATATAAATATGTAGATTTCCATATAGCTAAATATAGTCATTTATAAATGATAACAGTTTATTTTGTTAATTGAAATGGTTTTATATTTTACATTAGGTGACCATTTCGATTCAATAATTAAGTGGGTTAAAGAGTCTGAAGAAGCAGAATTAATGAATGTTTAAAAGACTTCTAAGGAATAACAAGTATTCAAAGAATTTAACTATTAAATTTGGCAAAAGTAACGATAAAACACCTAAAGAAACCAAAGTAGACGAAAAAAAACGTTTTTTTCATTCAACTTGGACTCAGAGGTGACGATATTGAGGCGGCAGTAGACAGAAGATTTTTAAAAAATACTGACCAGAACGTATCGTGCAGCTAAGCTGACTGTCATGCATAAAACAATATGTTATTTACTTCAATCAAAATTCATTAAGTAACCCTTTCATGTTACCGATAACTGTTACACGTAACTGTCAAAGCAGTCACATCAGTAGAACAGAATGAAGGGCCTACGTTCGATTCCAAAAAGCCCCAGGTAAATAGGATTAGAGACCTTCATCAGTACTAATGCAAAACATTACTGTGACACAGGTTGATAAACTGAGATCGTTCAGGATCATCAATAGACAACTCAGTATCACTCTTCTCAAATTCACTGGAATCATAGCCATTAAATGCCTCAAACGGGACTTATGTATACAATATGGTGCAGTTGTAAATCTTTCTTTACCATGGTGACTTTATCGTCAGTTTTTTTACCTTATTCTTAGGATTTTTCTCTCTCTTATTTTGACTACATGGCTTCTTAATTGTTTGGTCTCAACTCATGTTCTTTTAGTCAATACAATTTTTTGTTCAACCCCTTGTTATTATGTCTGATGATTAAGAATCTGCTATTGCATATTATATTGATTTACAATACTTTTTATATATCTTTGATTTGATTACTGCATCATGATGATACATGGCCAATTTTATTGTTAGAAATATGTAAACTTTATAATAATTTTGATGTTATAGGTTGTAAGTAACTGATGAGAATCTAACGAAATAAAAAATGAATTCATGTTACCCTGCTCAATTCTTCGTTCTTGCTATATTCGAGGGAATGAAGTGTAATAAATATCTTAGCAGTTATACTCCCATGAATGTACTTGGAAGATTTTGTGCCGATTATTTTAACCAGTAGTTGGTTTTCATCATTTACTGGAACCACTAGTGTTGCTGGTCAAAATCAGAGAGGAGTAAATGTCTATTTTGTACCAGTATATAGTTTAGTAGCGCATACTTACTATACAACATTAGTTTGAAGTTTGAACATTATGTTCATCAAGTGAGAATTTCAACTTTAACCACGAATTGAAAAGGCAAAGGTTCACATTTTTAATTCAGTTGAGTTTAGGTAGGAACATTAAGATCATCTAATAACATCAGTGATGCTGGATGCACCCTAGGCATGGTTGAAGACTCCACCTGTTTCATAACACAATTGGATTTTGACGATGTTAAATCATCAATTACTTTAAGCTGGAAATGTAGGACAATTCGTTCAAACCCACTGAACGCACTGCTCGAGCTAAAAGGCCTGGCTTTGAACCTTAGTGGAGTCATGGATTGACGCTGTTGGAGTAACTATTACTCGAAATAATTCACTGTACAGCAGTTTATTGTTCATAATGATTTTCTAACTAAAGTCGGTGAATGATATAAGGTCACACTGTGAGTGACATTTGATTGGTTTTCACGGTACTTTTTTCCCTTTTTCTCTCACACTACAGGACTGAATGGTTTTGGTGGATGTGGCAAGGTGACAAAACAATAATGCCTGAAATACCGGAATATATGCGTAAATATTATGAACCAGATTTTGCATATGCTAATTTTGCAAAACAATTTCATGCGGAATTTTTCGAACCTGATAAATGGGCTGATTTATTTCAGAAATCAGGAGCACGTTATGTAGTACTTACTGCGAAACACCATGAAGGTTTTTGTAATTGGCCGTCTATTAGTTCATGGCAATGGAATTCAATGGATATTGGTCCAAATCGTGATTTGGTCGGTGATTTGGCTACATCTATTCGTAAAAGAACTAAATTAAGATTTGGTGTCTATCATTCCTTATTTGAATGGTTTAATCCATTATATTTGTACGATAAAGAAAATAACTTTACAACACAAGTGAGTTGATTCATTCTTCACTTTTTTTGTTTTTCATTAAAACTTTATGTATTAAGCAAATGATTCTGGGTTTTTCTTTGGATCTAGCTAAACAATACTGGTCATTTTATGTAAAGTAATAAAATGTTAAAATGACAGAGTTCTATCAAATTCCATTACAATAAAACTACTAGTTTATATCTCATGTGTGGATATTTACAGCATTTACGCGCGAGACCTAATGTCCTGGGTTCTAATCCCACGTTGCGGATCGTGAATGCGTACTACTAAAGACCATCATACTAGGACGAGACGGCCATTCAGTGCTTCCAGATTTTCAATGGTGGTCTAATATCGATCAATTCATGATCCTAATCAAACCTTAACAATCTCCACAACCCCCATACGGATATGAGGTTATATTTGTATGTCTAATAATTGGGTAAACGTTTTTTTATATGTATTTAGTGGACTTATTCGAAATAATATATGGTAACATCGTTAACTTTTAGTTCCTACGCACTTCAAAGACAAATTTCTAATCTTGATCACGTCTGAAAAACAAATGTTTTTAAACATACACAGTTCTTCAATTATATTTTTTTACTCAACAATATGCAGTTAAGATTGCGGGATTTACGTAGTGAATTTTGAGAAAACACATACAAATAGTTAATTAAAACTATTGAATTTCAATTTAATCATGTAGATATATGAACTCGCTATGGGACCTATATTTTATATGTTTGGTCGGAAGTAGCGTTTTAACTGCTTACTACTGAGATGTTTCTCATTGAGATGAAATGGCTATATATTAATCTCTAGTTTTTTTTCATCGTCACTTGATGTCGATCCAATAGCAGAACTATCTCCAACATGGATGACACGCCATAACTACTTATCTAACTAAACACTTATATGCACCCACTGATTAACTTTGGGGTAAATTCTCAAAATTCTAGTGAAAGGGGATGTTGATTTGTGAATTAAGGCATATTTTGTTACCAATACCATTGGATTATGATTGAGCTATGTATCAGATCAACCAGACTGTCTGATTTCAACCCAGTGATCGGAATTAGTAGTGGCTGGTTCTAAGTCAATCCCACATAGGTTATTCTAGCCTCTAAACAAACTAATCTATTCAGTCTTCTGAAGCTATATTTTTATCCTGTCACTTATTAGCTTATTGATTCTGTTTTTTATATGGTTATATATGTGCTAATTACTGATCCTACTCATTATGTGTCTGTAACTTATTTTTGTTCGACCATAAATGTCTAAACATGCTTGGTTAAACGGATTTAGCTCACTCGCCTTCTCTGTTGCGTGTCATTTTGTTTTGCTTCACTTCCCAATTAAGGATTGTTCAAAATATAGGTATTCAAAAATCCCTTTCTCGTATTTGACTTATTTAATTCCGATAATTATATGCAAGGATTGACGATATGTATGTTCCGACAGTAATCATTTAATAACAATCATTCATATGATCCAAATGGAATTAGATATTCCACTAGAATGTAACGTCCCAGCTGAAAGACTTGAAGGTATTGGGTTCAGTCTTGTGTGAGATCTTAGAAATGTACCGATGAGGATTTCCAGAATGAAATAAAATTTATAGGCTAGTATTACAGATTTTTCAATGGTATCGATTCGAGATAGAAAGTATCTCTTATCCAAACGGTATTTAATATGAATTAATCTACAAGTTTATTGAAACAAATATGTTCATGTATCGTGTACACATTTTTATTGATTAATTATTATTCTGTGTCATCTCAGTTATATTTATGTAGTCATATTCAATGTAATTAATATTCATATTGGGTAAAATCAATAGATTTGTAGAAAGCAGAATACCTTATTGATGTGCATAGATAAGAATAGATGTATAAGAAATTCAATGAAATCAACTGAAATTTATTGGAAATAATTCAATGCTTGAGATCATGAGTCAATTGAAACTAGACCACCGTAGAAAACCTGGAATCACTGGACGGCCGTTTCATCCTATTGTGGGACTCCTCAGCATTTGTTAACATTGAATTTGGAACGTATTGATTTTATCATCTCAGCAATTTTAGTTACTAAGTAGTTATGTTTTATTCTTCTATTATAATAATTTATGAGGGCAAAAAATGATTTTTTAAGGTAACTTGTATATGGATAACATTTAAATACTTAACCGAAATTAATTCTCAGGTAAAACTGGGTTTAGTTGTACGCAGTCATACCAATGAGATTGAAAGTTGAACCAAACGTATCTGTGAAACAAAGTGAATTGATTAATATTTTAAAACTGTGTTTCCCTATTCATGTGCCTGTCTACCAAGTTTAGTGAGATAAGAGGTTAAAATATGCAACAGTTGACAGTATGCAAACAGATAGATATAATTTAATTCATTCTTAATAGTTATAAAGAAATTTGAATACCTATGGTAATTGTATAGATGAATGTGTGACCCAAATGCTGAATGATTTATATCAACTGTTCACATGTAATAGGGCTTTGTGGAAACTGATAACGTTGCCGAAATTCCGGACGTTTAACATTCATAAATGTTTTTTTTAGTTCTAAATACTTTAGACCATTGATTGATCACTGACCAGTGACGAGTGTTATATATATTATACAGTTTCATAATCTAAGGTGTTATTACAACACTATTCAGGCCGCGACTAACTTCTTATGGGTTACTATAAGGTACAATGTTTGTTCACTGAATAGTGGCTAATATCATTTTTGTCTTGTCCTTTAGTACTGATCGAATTCTACCTATCAAGTTGATATGTGGCCACTAAACTTAATAAATCGACATCGCGAGTAATATATTGAAGGGTCAGGTATTTTGAGGTAATCAGCAGTACTAGACAAATATGAACTCAGTAAGCAATCAGTTGCCAATATATCGGCCATAGAAAGGGTCACCCACCACGATGACTAGGTCAGTGGTAATTTCTTAGATTGTAAAACTGAGTGAAAAAAGTTTGAATCACTAGGAAATATCAGTCCCAACCAAATTCCCAGTTTGCTTTATTGATATGTAACAGCTATCACGAAATTTTCGTTTGGAATTTCTAATTTACTACCTTCAAACACAAGACACAAATAATTTTTAATATTTACTTCATAAATTATAACCCTATCTATATTGTCTGAATTTATAGACATTTGTTGAACAAAAAACATTGCCAGAATTATATGATTTAGTATTACGTTATAAACCAGAAGTGATTTGGTCTGATGGTGATGCTGGTCCAGATACTTATTGGAATTCAACACAATTTCTTGCTTGGTTATATAATGAATCACCTGTAAAAGATACAGTTGTTACAAATGATCGTTGGGGTAATGGTTGCCCATGTAAACATGGAGGTTACTATTCATGTGATGATCGTTATCATCCTGGTAAATTAGTGAGACATAAATGGGAAAATTGTATGACATTAGATTGTTGTTCATGGGGATTTAGAAGAGAAATAACTTTAGATAAAATATTAACACCAGAAGTAAGTGAAAATTTTTCCTAAAATTGTTTGTTTTTTTCAATTTATTCAGTAAAATGTGACACTTTGGTACCAAACACTCATGAATTGAAAAAAGAATTTAATGTAGAATCTTCATGTTAAGCCTTATTTAAGTTCAAGTAATTGACAATATTTAGTGAGAGTTGTCGTGTTCCTATAAAGTTTCAGTAAGAATTTATACTCGATATCACTCGACTACATTTCGAGTAACATAGTTGTCGTCAACAAAAGACAATGATTGCCATGCCATGTATTTAGTTAATTGTTTGTACATATTGGTAGTTAGTATTGAGAAAAAGGTGTAACAGATGGTGTTATCAAGTCATGGAAACCGAAACATAGAATATTGATTAGTGAATAAATTGAAACTAACTTGCTTGAGTTGTTTTAAATCAGTCCATTGATCCTCAGACCAAGCCTTATAACTCAAATAAAAGACATTTTTATGTATTTCTATTAAAATTCAAAATAAAGCAAATAAACTGTAGTGGAATAGCTTCGAGATATTTCTTTAGGCTTCGTATAACAATCACCCTGATAAATGTTTATAAATAAATCTCAACAGTGTATGAATCCAGAAGGCAACATGAAGAGCCGATTACAGTTTATTATAGAATAGCTCAGACTATAAAGACACAATTACATAAAACGAATTTGAACAAAAAGGATAGTGAGAGCGAGCGAGTGAGCGAAGTAACACTCACCGAGTGGTTGCGTTACGTAATAAATATATTAGTGTCACATTGATTATAAAATAATATTGAATGACTTGGAGAAAGATAATTATAATGATCAAAGTAATTATTTGAAAAATCAAACAGTTGCTATATTAAATAGAGCAAGAACAAAGATTGGTGCAGAATAATAAATGGATTCATTTTATTTCGTTAGCTTCTCATCAGCTGCTTACAACCTAAATTATTTGAAATTCAACATTATTACAATATATTATTTTTATTTATAACAATCAACCCAATGCTCAATTTATTCGAAATTATCAAATCAAACCTTGGTAATGACACCTATTATTACAGATATTGACATATTTATACATAAGAGTGTGATGAAGGATTAATACATGTGTATGATGATGTAGCAAGCAAAGATTCAGATAGAGTTAATGAGCTCATAAAATGTTTGATTCGAATAAATAAATAAAGTTAGAGAGGGAAAGTTCTGGAACATTGAAATAGTGATTAGAACTCATGAAAATAGATTAATGGTAATAAAGAAAATATGAATTGAAATCAATCAGTTATGTATGATGTAATTTATATTTCAGAAAGAGTTGCAATAATGACGTAATAAATAAATAAATAGGAGCAAATGAATAGAAAGGGTGGGGGTTATTGTTACCAGGGTAAAGAAAGATTTATTACTGTCTCTTTTTGTATACATAGATCTGGTTTAAAACGTTTGATTGCTAACGCTTCAGCGAATTTCAAAAGGTTGGAATTTGGTTGTTTGTTAATCACCTTGAAGGACTTCAGTATATCAACTTCATGTCCTGTATCAAGGAGATGTCTTGCGATAGCACTGTTGAATGCGTTCAATCCATTTAACCTTAAACTTTTCGGAATATGTTCTTTGAATCGGGCGTAGGCTCTCCTTTCTGTTCTACCAATGTAACTGCTTTGGCAGGTACATGTAAAAGTTTTGGTTAACTCGTGATTTTTATTGTGGGAAAACAAAACAATAGATCTACGATGAATCTAAATCAAGTTTATAGTTAGAATCATACGGAATACCGTTAAAATTAAATATTTAGATAATTTAACGTAAGATATATACTAACAAATGATGTCTTTTCCAACGGTGGGGACGGCTTTCAGCGAACTCAAGGAAGCTCTAAAAAGCTCTGAAAGAGCCAAAGAAAATTCCAGAATCTCGACGCGAAGCTTACAGACTGGACAAACTAATAACCACTGCAACTTGGAGGGTTCAAGAGTTTGAGTGCACTAGTTGTACGCGGTGTAGCAAAAATTCAAGTTCTAAGTATAACATCAACTTTATGATTTTCTCAAATTCCCCAATTTATTCTTTCACAATTTTCAATTTCAAGCAACTTATTTCTGAAGTTATTGAGACTGTTACTTTTGGTGGAAATATTCTCATTAATGTTGGTCCAACTTCATGGGGAACAATTTTACCTATTTATGAAGAACGTTTATTACAATTAGGCGAATGGTTGTCTATAAATGGTGAAGGTATTTACGCCACTCAACCATGGAGAATTCAAAAAGAACCAAATTATGATTTTGTTTGGTAAGTATTTTAATTATGTTCAACAGATTTGATGTAACAGATTGTATAATAGAATATCTTGAGTGTTTATTTATGAATTTACATAGAAGGAAATCTGATCTGGACAATTTCTCATGGGACATGATGGTCTTTCGTTTGAACTTTAAAAGTAACTTGTTGAAAGGATTTTTGGTTTAATCTATAAGGGATTTGTATTGAATAATATTTCGACTTGTTTCTTTTGTAATCAAAAGTTTCGTCGGATTGCTGTACATTTATTCCAGTTGTAGTTTTATGTTCAACATTCGTCAGAGTTAAATGTCCCGAGAAATATACTGAGTATAGAATCATAACTTTCAATAGAGAAAGAACATTGAAGAGATCACAGTTGTTAAGGTTGTAACATTATTCAAAGCATTTTATGAAAATCTTGAAAGACACATTTGGAAGACCTAATCGCTGAAGTATTTAAGTCTCTTTTAATTGAATTTAAAAACAATTTGTTCAAATCAATGAGCTTTATTTTTTTAGTAATCTTCAGTCCCTTTTGATACTTGAATCGGAATGACAACATTAGGTCTTTTCTATATTGTATTATCATGGTGGTATTTTCATTTGATAGTTACATAATCTTGTATTTAAATTGAACGTTTTTCATAAATAAATGTCTTGGTATATCTGTGTATGATCAAATTATTTGAAGTATATTACACAAGTGCACCACGTTTTTCAGATCCTTTTCATCTTTACGCGGTACTTTCAGGAATTAGGAAAGACGGAACGGCTAAATAGTTTTGGCAATATAGGTGATGTCAGTTCATGATGAAAACCTGTAATTTAATATCTAACCTTGATCATCAACTATCAAACATAATTCTAATTCCTTACACAAATTTATAGCCCACCTTTGGTCCTAGTTATTAGGTGGACACTCTCAAGGTCAGTCTAAAGTCTCTCAAAGGTCATCCATAAATTATAGTCTTATTACAATAGACAATTTGAATAATGATTATTATTCTAGCCTGAAATGATAATTCTTTATTTCACTAATTGAAATCATGAGTCAATTGAAGCTAGATCAACATGGAAAACCGTTTCACTCTGGTACTAAAATCTCCACAAAACCCCTTCTCAAAATAATCATCTGCTCACTAGTGACTAAATTCAACAGACACTCCTGCAGTTCTGATGAGAAGCAGTGACCAGTGGAGTTCAACCTGGTCTGTTGTGAGATATCAGCTCACTGATGACAATGGTGTACACTGTCTCGATTTCGTGTATTGGTTGAAGTTAGACATTAACACTGTTAGATGCTGGTCTGCTCAGTGGTCTAATGATTAGGCACTCGCGTGTGAGACTGATAGGTCCTGTTTTCGAATCTCGTGAAGTGGGGTTGCGGATCGTGAATACGCACTACAGAGGAGTTCCATACTAGGACGAAACGTGTGTCCAGTGTTTCCAGGTTTAAGATGGTGGTTTATCTTCAAATGACTCATGATTTCAACTAGTGAAATTTCTAAAAATCTCCACAATACCCATTCTGATAATTCTTTATTTGTATTACTTTTAATTTTAGGTATACTTATAAACCTGCATTGATTGATAAGAATATAAATGAATATATGAAAATGCCATCCCTATATTTATTGAATAGAATATCATCTGTGAAACAAAATCCATCTATAGTATATGCACATTTAACAAAATGGCCAAATAAATATTGTCACAATTTAACAGAAACAATAAATGATCAATCAATACAAACAAGAACATTTTGTAAAAGAGAATTACATTTACGATCAATTAATGCTCATCCAAATTTATCTAATTTTACTTTATTAGATGGAAGTTTAACTGGTATTCAATTATCGTATCGAATCATGAATGGTGTAATTATTAATTTACCTGATTTAATTATGAATAATGATAATAGAAATATATTGAAATATGCATGGACAATACGTATGATTAATGTGTTTTAATAAACTATTGACCTTGATCTATGATATGATTCTTAACAAACAAACAAACAAACAAGCAAACAAACAAACAAGCGAACAAACGAGCAAACAAACAAGCGAACAAACGAGCAAACAAACAAACAAAAAGTGTAGACAGTTCACAAATGTTATTTTCAAGTGATTTTAGTATTAGGTTAATTGTTTAAAGCAATTAAAACTAACAATATTATTAGTAGTATCTCAATGAAAAGAGAAAAATAAAACTGAATTTTTAATATTGTATAACTTTGCATAAGTTGTGTTTGTTTTAGCGGTTAATATAAAATATAATTAACAGAGAATATATAAGGGTAAAGAGGGGTATTCTATTTCAATAATGATCATCATACAATCTGATTAGTGACAGATATAGTTGTGAAGTGTTCAAGATTCAATTTTCTGTGAGATTATAATTTATGAATGAACCAATCAGATTTAACATAACAGGTTTTGAATTTTAGCGCGAAATTAATTCATTCACTTAGCTTTATTTAGTTTTATTAATATAGTTGATATTAGTTCATGATGAAAACCCTATATTTGCATCCTGATCTTAACTATTAACTGTAAATAATAATCGTAATTCTTTACACTGGTTTATAACCTTCATTTAACCGTAGTAGGCTGTTGAACATTGTCAGGGTCGCTTTAGCGTCACTCCAAGGTCGTCCATAAATTATAGTCTCACAGTTTTGTTTTAATTTTTTAAAGACTTGTTCATTTAGTATCATTTGTAATATGTAATTTAATTAATTTGATAGGATCATAGAAACTATATAATTTATAGACTTTTTGAATTTCTTGTTTCTATGTAAATCGAATAAAAATTTAGAAATTATGCTTCTTTTTTTTCTTTAAATAACAGTTTTTCTGTTTTGTTTTTTCTTGTATGTATTGTAAAGTTTGGCTTTTAAGGAAAAAATTCGATCAATATTTTCATTCTTTCACTGAAACCAAGCAGTCAAAAACATGATTTTCTGTAGGTTTTTATATCATAGATTAACATTATTTAAACCGGTAGTGTAAGATAGGACGCATTGTATGACAGTTTTGTATTAATATAGAGCACTTGAGTACTGTACACTCACAACCCCACTGTAGGTCGGAACAAAGACCTACTAACATTCAGGTTTGTGATTGTTACGTCCTTGATCTGTCTACCCACTAATATACAGAAGATAGCTTGTCTCAATCTAGATTAAAGCCATGATAATGTGACTGACTGGTTTAACCTTTAGGCTAGTATGCTTAAATTCGAAGTGAGACTAACTGCCTTGGGTAGAGACGAAAACTATTCTATCACGTGATTGTTTGAAAAGCGCGCGCGAGAGAAGACGAGTCAACTGGAATACTACTCGATTTAGTCCTGACTACGATTTATAACTCCGATTCCGTCAGTACAAAAAAATACATAAATAAATAAATAGATGACTAACATGACCACAACGCACAAACAACCAGAAAAACACAGTTATATCCAAAACTGGGGATTAGGATAGCAAATAGACTATGAAAGACTACGTTTAAATTACAATAGCTTCAGAATAGAAAAGGTTATGGCAGTTAATCATAGATCAAACGAAGGCTTATGGTTTGTAGAATAAACTAAGGACGAAACTGAATGTTAGTGTTTAACAAACTTTGAATTAAGTGAAATAACGTCCGCAAAGATAGCTTTCGTTGTTTGTCAAAGCTTCTTTTTACATCTGTCCACATCAGTGATTAATAATCAAAACTGTTAGGCTAGGCTCGAGTGGTATATTCTTCCAAGTTTAATTCAGTCAGGATGTGGCATAGCAGTCATTCTATGAGATTAATGACAACTGTATAAGTACAAATATTTCTGAACTCGGTTGCTGACAACTTTCCCCCAGTATTTCAGGATTAAAAGCTTAGTATTCAGATAGTTAGTAGTATTGGATTCACCAGTTGTTGAAAGTATAGTAAACAACCATAAATTCATAGATTAGATCAGTAAAACAATCAGATTTAATAGAGCGCACTCTGTCATTTAGCTAAAAGAATATTTTTTTGAAATCTAGCCAATTCGTTATTTAAAATCATCAGTGAGCTATCTTTTTACATTTAATTTAAGAGAACTCAGTATTTTACGCTGCTCACTAAAACACTGGGAGTACCATGATTATACTGTTCACTACTGAGAGCACATCTACGAAGTGATATTGCGTAAATTTATTCCAATCGAAGTTATACTATTATTATTACATGGGAAAAACTGTTTTCCAATTACTGTTAAATATAGATAGTTTTTTTAATTGTATACCTGTCTTTAAGTAGTTGCATTTTTTTATCTCTTCACCTGTTACTGATAGTTAGTCGAAGATGAAATGATTGACATTTTTTTAGACAAATCATCGTACATTTGTCCGTTGTACCACTGAGATATTGATTAATACAGTTACAGAAATAAGACTGTTAGAGTGATTGAGTTTCCTATAAACTTATCACAACACAGGCCTTCTGTTATGAAAGACCATTCATGAATTTATAAAACCTGAAGTAATCTACAAGAGAGTAGATGAGTTATTATTATTTTTTTTCCAAAAAGGACTACTCAGATTTCAGTATAATTGCAGTGAACGAACGATAAGGTGATGGGGAAAGTTAAATTATCATTTTACGCACAATTACATAGTGATTTCGTAAAATGCAAAAATCATACATTAAATACTTAATTTATACATCTTTAATCAGTCATCTCTTACAAACTTTATCATCCTTACATTCCTGTTGTTATTACATTAACTCTCTGTTTACATTCCTGTTCTGTTCAATTAGATCTTCTCAATCTTGTTTTAACAGGCGTTCCATTTCTAATTAGCGTTACATACTACTTATATTTACAGATATGAGTAACATACACCACATGATGTCAGATCACATCAACTGGCACCAAGTAAATAAAATTATTTAAATTCAAAGAATTTTGTTGATGGATTACTTGATTTAGTATCACTACGGTATACAACACAGCTATTATTATTATTATTATTATTATTATTATTATTATTATTATTATGGTTGTATCAGTTCAAGAACTTTTTGGTGTTACATTTTTTGACCCATGTAACATTCAGTTTTGGCCTGAATGTTTATTTTCATTCATTTTTAAATGACGTTTCTAATACATAAATATAACATGTTTACACAATAATTATGTAGTTGATTATAAAATAGTGTAATATTGTTTCGATGACAATATAATTGAAAACTTGATTAAATCATTATTGAAGGTATAATGAAGTGTTTGGTTCAACAAATCAACTCCGACTGCAGCCCCTCTGGGGCTACCGCTGGTCCGAAGCCCGGATAAAGAAGGAGAGTTGGGCAATGGGTTAACGACCCTATCCCGTGAAGCTGGGTGACACGAGATCGAATCCGCCAGGGAGCACCAGTTCCCTCAAGATTACAGGTACACCTTGCTGACGAGTGCCAAGTAGCACGAAACCCGGGTCCAGGGTTTCCTGTTGACTACCTCCAACCACCATCTAATCTCAATACATAGTGCCCGCAGTGTCGAGTCACCTAGACTGGTGGCCACATTGCAACATGATCGATAGCATTCGATCTGCACTATTAAGGACTAGACAAGCATGAGATTGATCACCACCCAGTGATCAATCAATTGTGACCCTATCCCGTAGAAAACTAACTCTCTGATAAAACACTAACCAGTTCAGTCAGTTAATAGGTAGTTTATGAAATAACAATCCTAGTATTTAAACTAATGAACAGTTTACTTATATTTCGATAGGATCATCAACTTTGAGAGATTTATTTATTTTATTTATTTAAACACATAAACATTGGTATAAGGAGACATCAAGTATATATGCGCCACATATCCTGGGTTGGGATACTGCCTGAGTGCGCAAACCGAAGCAGGTAGTAATAATTGAACAGGATTTGAAGAGTTTACATAATTTAAGAGAATTAAGTAACTGAGAGGAGAATGGGCTCTTGACAGTGCAATAGCTTGGGATTTACTTGGCACCGGGCATACTATTGATATTCCTCAAGCTTTCAAAATTATTAGCGGATAATAAAATACTTCTTCGGTTTGCTGGGGCGATTGCGATTAAAATAAATACTCAAACCTGATCTATGTATTTAAAAAGAGACAGTAATAAACTTATTACTACCTTGGTAATTCAATTTTTGGTCATTAGTTTTATTTTATTATTGTTTAGTTTGTTATACTGCTCTTCCTTTACCGAATTCTTATTTTACGTACATTTAAACTACCCCTTCACTCATACATTTCCACTCCCTCAGTTCTCTTAAATTATGTAAACTCTTCAAATCTTGTTCACTTATTACGCAACCCATCCTACCAGGGTTTTTTAATTCCAGAAATCTTGTCCAAACCCTTCATTACCTCTAAAATTATCAAACAATTTATCTTATCTGTCTCTGAACTTCACTTAATTAATACATCACCTACCCCTCATGTTTTCTTATTCTAACACCAAATGACCTATGACCTGTTCTTTCACATATATATAGTTATTATTGAAAACCTTTGTCATTCCAATTCTTTTCATTCACGTATGTCAATTGTTTCACACTATATCTTACCTCAATGTAAAATTTTAACACATATTTGGTTGTAAGCAACTGATGAGAAACCATGAAATATAATGAATTCATATTATTCTGCATCCATGTTCGTTCTGGCTTTATTTAAAGTTATTTATTGTTGATCGTAGTACATACGAAAAACAGTAATCAGTGGTTGAGAAGATTTGTAGCTCAGGTAGATGATTTTGATGGAGTTTTGTTCTATGAGCTGGATGGTTTAGTCGTGAAAGCTCCAAGACTAAACAATCCAGCTCAGAGAACAAAACTATCAAAAAACAGTAATCAGTATTATACTATTGAGCTTGTAAAATGAAATATTATTCCATTTTACTAATAATTTGGAGTTCTATAAGTAATTCTGCCGAGAAATAATGAGATGGTTATGAATAACATCATGAATAATTCCATTGATAACACATTGAGTGACACAATTTTAAGTCACATAAGCTGCATCAACACCTTTAAGATTACAAATGTATTGCGTTATCAACTACCAGGATGTATGAAGCCTAGATCTAGAACTTCATGCTTGACAACATAATAGGTTTGTTGTGTATCCAAAATATACATTTCGTAACCAAAATGTTAACATTTTTTATTATTATCAAAGCTGACTTTTCAATATATCATTGACCATTGAAGCTAAATCACTGGCTAATTTACATTATTTCACTGAGTATAAATTATATATATAAATTGATTGTGTGTTTGATAAGAATTAACTGTAACGCTTTATCCAGTATCCTAGCTTCAGTTTCTTCCCTAAAAAGTGTTTCAACGATAGTGAATTTAAAATATAAATAATGTTAAAATTTAAATGGCTGGCAGTGGAATACAGAGCTCACGTTTCGTCCTATTTGAGACTCGTCGGCTGGATATACCTGCATCTCAAAGTTGATGTTCATTCCGTGAACTCCACCTGGAGCCCCTTTGGGGTTACTGCCGGTCTAAAGCCCGGATAAAGGAGGAGGGTTTGGCATGGGGTTAGCGACCCCATCCCATAGAACACTAACTCGCTAAAAAACGCTAACCAAAAAAATAATTCAAACCATTTAAACTCTGCCCTGGGAGTTAGAAGGTCCTCATTTAGAAGAGTTATGTCGCCTTATGGTAAAAGCCGAGTTGCTTCGAAAGCCACAAGGTTGATGCAACCATTTATTTATTAATGTCGAAATTTACCTACTTACTAAACACCAGATAATTCATTTGTAATTGTTGTTTGAATATTCAGGGTG